ACACCCAGGAGCGAGGACATGCGGTACTAGGCTTTCTTTTCATCTCGACATTCCCATTCCAAAATACCAATGTGCCATCCGATTAAGCAAAAGCAAAGCCATTGATTGTTTGTGCTTTGAAAAGGTCTTTCCAGTAGTAAGAAACAGAGGGAGTTAGAAATGTGCAGCTGTGATTATAGTACAGCGACAGCCGTGGGTATCTCCAGCTCCGCATGCAACATCTAATTTGGGCAAACCACTTCACTCCCCCCACCCCTTTCACTTATTTACATAGGAGGAAATGGTACCTGCCCCACTGGGATTTCCAGCGTGTGCTTGTACGGTGCCCAGAGCATTCTTGGTTGGCGCCCCTGAATGCTACGGTAATGCAAATAAAGGACTACATGAGAAGCAGGCAATATATATGTGAGCACTTAAAGATTAGATCAGGCATCTGGGGCTACTTAAATGTGTGTCTTCCCATAGCAACGCTGGGTGAATAAAGAAAATTGGCAAGACATGGAGCCTGACAGGTAAATGGAGTGGTGCAGCAGGGAGAGCATCACGAAGTACACACCACGTAGGATGAGACGCCTGAGTCAGTGCGGGCAGCGCTGACAGTTGATCTAAGCCTATCCGTCATTGTGAAGCGGGCTGCCAGCATGTTGTGTTTTCTCTAGTCAGGCTGAAAACTGATAGCCTGGTTTTGCCTCTTTTTAATGGAGAAGAAATCAGAAGTTGTATCTGTTTTCCTATCCGTGCAATGGCCAGGCTGGAGAGAGAGAATTATGCATGGTACCAAGATGAAGGAGGAGAGGAAATAGAAAGGGGTGTGTTTGTGGGCTGGCGGAGGGAGAAATTTTTTGGCTATGGTAGGGCTGGTGTGCTGTGTCTTGGGAGGAAAAGGTTTCCTTCTATGCATTGTACAGAGGGCAGCCATGCTTTGCCTGCAAACTCGGGAGCGGCCGGGTTTGGCCAGCACGGTTTTCAGCACTTACAGTCCCAAAGGAGATGCTCATGGACAGGGAGGGACTGAGACAGCTATAAGAAGCTGCCTTGTGCCAGGTACTTTCCAGCATCTGGGGGACATCACTGCCTTTTCAACAGGAGAGTGCCTCTGCACGCCACGCTGGGGGCTCTGCCTCTTCTTTCTAGAGCCAGCTCAGCCGAACATTTAGGAAGACAGAGCTCAGCCTAGATTGGCTCGTTCTTTGCAACAGCCGGGGCTTTTCAGGCTTGATTCTGCAGGGGATGTAGGCGCATGACTGCTGGTATTACAGGACGGCAGGAGAGGACGACAGGAAAGAAATGGCAGACCTCATCTGGTAGAGAGGGGTCTGGCACAGACTTTCAAGAGTAGACCCTCTGAGGAGGGCAGGGGGTGGGGGTACGGGTATGGAGATGGGTGTGGTTACGCGGTGCAAAATGTGCAATGGGTTTTTAGTGTGCTTTGAGCTGGCAAGTGAAGCATAGGAGCCACTTGGCAGTGTTGGAGGTGGAGTTATATATCTATATATATATATATAATGACAGCGAGAGAGATTGTAACGCCACCCCCTTTTTTTTTTTTTGCAATATATATATATATATATACAGGGGTTAGGGGCCCAGTTAGATACAACAGAGATAGAGAGAGGTTGTAACCCCCCCCCCCTTTTTTTTCTGCAATATATATATATACAGGAGTTAGGGGCCGAGTTATATATGACAGAGAGAGATTGTAAACCCCCTTCCTTTTTTTTTTGCAATATATATATATATTTGCAAATATATTGCAAATATATATATATATATTGCAAAAAAAAGCGGGGGGGGGGTTACAATCTCTCTCTCTGTCGTATCTAACTGGGCCCCTAACCCCTGTATGTGTATGTGTATATATATATATATTGCAAAAAAAAGGGGGGGGGGGTATAATCTCTCTCTCTGTCATATCTAACTGGGCCCCTAACCCCTGTATGTGTATGTGTGTATATATATATATATATATTGCAAAAAAAAGGGGGGGGGGGTTATAATATCTCTCTCTGTCATATCTAACTGGGCCCCTAACTCCTGTATATATGTGTGTGTGTGTGTGTGTGTGTGTATATATATATATTGCAAAAAAAAGGGGTGGGGGGGTTATAATCTCTCTCTCTGTCATATCTAACTGGGTCTCTAACCTCTGTTACTGGACAGACAGAAGCTGGCTGCAGAGCCCTAAGTCTGCTTGTAAATCTTGAGGCTGCAGGTACTAGCTATGGAGAGGCACGCTCCAAAGTAATAAGCTTGCTAGTTTGTGAACGGAAAAAACCTGCACCTAGTTGCGTGGTGGGTCAGACAACTGGAAGGGGATGGAGCGTGGAGCCATATAAGCCTGGCTCTTAAAAGAGAGCCTCAGACTGGGCCAGAGCCTGGAAGGAAAAGAAGAGTCTGAA